AAACCCTATAAACCCGAATTAAGCCCTCAACCCTCGTCTTTTTAACCATCACAGCCAGTATCATCTTCATCGTCACCATCACTACCACATGGGATGTCTAGCGTGATGTCTGGGCACTGCTCACCAAGGACAGTGTGGACTGTTGGGGCGATATACCTCAAAGATCATCATCGGTTCATGGCTGCTTTGATGTTGACCCCCATCCTGATCGTCTTGGTGGTGGGGCTGTTCTACTATCCGTTCCGGCTCTCTTTGAAACTCTCCGTTGACGGAAGCTTTCTGCTGCCGCTGACAGCCGTGTCTCGTCACGGTTTCAGCTAAATGTGTTGGCAGCGCACGTTGTTTCTTACGTCTGGCAAGTATATAAGAGAATGAGACTAAGCCAACCGTTTCACCGCCCAAGTGCTTGCGCGTTTGGTTTGATCATGTGTGCGAGACCTTTGGCGTCCAATATGCATGCACCTGCATCGGGGAAGTTAGAACCCTAAACCCCTAAGCCCTATATAAACTATAAACCCTACGTGCCCAAGGTCGTGTTTGAGGCTGTTGTCCTTGTGGCATTGAACTACACGAGCCGATCCTGGGCTACTCACGAAATTTTCCCGTTTCAGGTTTAAGCTGTTGAATCGAGCTGGTGCAACTTTCCGCAATGTGGTGGGGTTGATATAGCATGGTCTTCCTTCAATGAAAGTCTTGATATCAGACTCGCAGCCGCCAAGCTTTCCCTAGACTGAACCGCTGCGGCAAGTGATTCTTGCTGAAACCATTGAGGGCGAGGTTTGTTCTTCATGCTGAGAAACAGAGTTCCCACGATTCGTCAGCGCGGGCGTTACCATAAAGTTGACCCAGTTTCGAACTGTCTGGGTTCCCGCCGCATGAGAACAAACCTACAAAACGGAGGGATGCCGAGTAGTCCGTGCAGAACGCCTCTAAAGGGATCAAAAAAAAATAGCATCCCGTGCAAAACCCTGAAGCCGATCGCCGAGGAGTAGCAGACCTTGGTGCAGTCGCTGGCAGTTGGATTTAGACTTGCATCGCTCGCCGCATGAACACCAAACCCCAAAGGTAAACCCTATCTGTAAGGTGTAAACCCTAAACCCTAAACCCCCTAAACCCTAAACCGTTAAACCCTTTCCCCTACGAGGTGCTTCGCTCCCTAGCCCCGGTTTCGAGAGCTGCAGGCAAGCCCCATGGTTTTGACAAAGCCCGTACCTAGACTTCGCAAGCCTGAAATTGATGTGCTGTGGACGGCGGAATCCAACGTCGGCCTTCGAAGCCCACTGCTGGTGGGTTGACCAGGAATCCCAAGACTGCTACGATTCAAAGCCCAACCTGAAGTCGTGAAACCACCAGAGCCGTAAACTCTATACTCAAACCATGACCATGGAAGCGTCATACCCCGAGAACTTCAGCCGTAAGGATTGGCCACGGCCTCCTTCACCCGAACAGCGCTGGAGAGCGCCGAGCAGCTTCAGAACTGGCAGAGCAACAAGTCGCTCAGCCTGAGGTCATCGGAGTCGGGACAGGACTCCAGGGGCTGGCAGGGGTTTAGGGTTTAGGGGGGTTTTGGTCCTTAGGGGTTTATAAGAGGGTTGGTGACTGTTTGCTGCCAGCTTCTACGGGGAGTTCGTTATCATTGGGTGTTCATGAGCAGTAGTGGCTGTGGTGGTGATGGGTCGCAGTTGGAGGAGCGAGGCTTGGTCATGGGGCATCATGTTTTGATGTTGTCGTTCTTACCTCTGTGGTTGTTGGTCGTTACTCTGCCTTTGTGTGTGTGTGTGTGTGCTTTGTTGTTCACGCCTTTGTCTGATTTCCTTTATGGATTGAACAATGTTGTTTTTCGGTGTGCTAGTGCGGCAGTGCGTTGCATGGTATCTACTATTCCGACAAGCAAGAAAAAGACTGCCCGACAGGATGTCCCGGCGGGCATCGTGAGCCATGACGGTTTCTTCAGCATATGACTGGAGGCTACATGAGCGCGCTGAATGTGCTTGTTCAGGTGGCTTCCACCTGATTCGATTGTTGGAACAGGTTGCATACAACTTTTGCAGGAAAGATGAGCTCGGAGCTAGGGGAGGAGACCGCCTTGGGGTCCCAGGTCTACGGTATGCTGGCGCTGCTAGGTACAGGTCATGACATGCAGAACTTGAGACAAAACTCCATCTCCGAGCTATTATACCAAGTTTCCTGCAGAGAGATATTGCGTTTTCATTTTCCATACCCGGGAACCGCCACAGGATCCTAGAATAAGTGCTTCTGTAAGGTAAGGATTTCTGTAAAGGTTCCCAACATAAGACTTTCTTTAAGATTCATCCGGCCTCCTTGCCACTCTCCCGACACAGTCCTGCTAGGAACCCTAAGCTGAAATTGCCCGTCGGCTTTTTCGGCCTACACCGAAAACTATACAAACAATACTAAGACTGGCCAATCTGAGTCTACATAAGCACACAAGTTACGAAAGTAAAAGTCTTTTCGCTGCACTACACTAAATTACACTGGTATGGCATCAACTACATATACATATACATATAATTACCATATGTAAGATGTACATGCATGTGTGTCTAGCTCGTCTAGGAGTCCGCGTTTGCGTGTGCGCGTGCGTCTGTGTGTGCGTGCGCGTGTGCGCGTGCGTCTGCGTGTGCGTGCGCGCGTGTGTGTGTGTGTGTGTGCACTCTGCTTTTATGTATGTTTGTACGTATTTGTGTATGCTTGTGTGCGTGTTTGAATTCGTGCGTGTATGCATGAATGCATGCATGCATGTATTTAAATGTATGTCTGTACCTACGTACCTATCTATGTGACCATGTATGGGCGCATCTGTGTTATGTCTCGTATGTATGCCCAAGGATCTACTGATTTGGCACATGGACGTTTACAAAGTATGTATATATATATATAGATTGTGTGTGTACATAAATATGTATACTAGTATCAAAAATAAAACATGTGTATGTGTTGGGTGTACGTGCGTGCGTACGTTCGTGGGTGGGTATGTATGCTGGTATGTATGTACGTATGTATGTATGTATGTATGTATGTATGTACGTATGTACCTATGTATCTGCATGTATGAATGAATGAATGTATGTATGTATGTATGTATGTGTGTGTGTATTAGTGATGTATGCATGCTTGTATGCATGCTTGTCACAATGTCATTATACATGCCTGTATGCATCCCCGCATGTATGTATGTATGTATGTATGTAAGTATGTATGTATGTATGTAAGTATGTATGTATGCACGGATGTATGTGTGTATGTATGTATGTATGTATGTATGTATGTATGTACGTATGTATGTATGTGACGGTGCGTATGCATGTTTGTATGCATGCATGCACGTATGTACTTACATTTGTGCAACTGTATATACGAACATCTCAAAACACAAAGTATGTGCATCTATCTATGGCATCTATGGGTACATATATACACATGTATGCATAACATGCCTTCGTACATATGTACATACATACATACATACATACATACATACATACATGCATACAATTCCTATGGGTCTAAACTTGCACGCGAAGGCGAACAAATCAAAGGACACACAACTTCCGCAGATTTGTAGACTGCACCGGTGTGGGCCAAAGCCCTCGAGCCAGACACTCGGGTGAGCTCTGTAGAAGGAAGCTCAAACGCGTCCTTCGTTTTCCGGCGGACAGCGAACCATGTTTTCGGACGAAATCGACTCCGCCAAATAGGGCTATTTGCAACTGGCGTGACTGCACTGACGGGTGCTTCTCATGCAAGAATTCAAGTAGTCCTGCAAAGTTGGCCTCCGACCTTCTGGATGCCAGACACATCGGCTCGGAAACCCCAGCCTCCGGCATCTGCAAAAGCAGGCCTTTCAAGCTGAAATGATTCTTGGATTTCTGCCGTGCCTATCGGACAAAATCGACCGGTCATGGCCGAGCCTAAGGCAGCCGATCAGTGGTTAAGACCGTATTTTTGTGCCTTCCCAGCCTTTCTCGTGATTCTGAAAAAAATCTGAAGTGGCTTTTGAAAGCAGTCTCGTGTGCGACGGAACAGGGAGGTACGCATAGCCCGCTAGAGTTTCACAGTTCACTCATCTCATTGCGTGCGAGCTGATGCTAGTTCTACGGCGCAGGTCATGTCATGCTCCCACGGAGTGGGTAACGCGGGTGCGTCGATGCAGTGTCCATGGCTAGTGTCGAGCACGGCCTTTCTGGACCTCTTTCAGTCGAAAGAGTCGAAAGCACACAGGATGCGCACAGATTCAAAAAGAGTTTTTCTTGGGCCCTGACATGGAATTGAAAATACCACAGAAGGAAGTCTTGACAGACAGAGGTTATCTCTTACATTCCGGATGCTTCCTTAGAACATCATTATCTTGCAGATGCATGCTGTGGCATGGTCGCGGTCCGGACGATCTGTGTGAAGGAGTGAGCCATGCTGTGCTATGGGTACTGCAGGTGTCATCTTAGAATTCTAGGAGTCTAGTTAGTAGTACGCGTTCACGCCTGCCAACTCTGGTCGAGGACGGTGTGTGCCATTCTTGCTGATGCAGTTGTGGGCCATGTATGCGTTTGAGGGCAGCAGGCGGCACATGTGCATGAATCCCGTTCCTGTTGCACTTGCTGATGCAGCGTTTGGCCTTGTTCCTGTACGGTGCAGCGAAACCTCCACTGTGTTCTTCAGTCAAGGCCTTTGTACAGCCGACATTCAGCTCCACAGTCTGGCCATCTATATTTAGGGCTTAGGGAGTTGAGGGATTCGGGCCCAACTCCAAGAGATTGTTTTGCAGGTCAGGCCACTCTCTGCATTCGAGACAGGACATGATATTAGGCTGCTGCCGCCGATCAAGGCTGTCGGCAGCGGAAGGACTCGAATCAACAAGTGTGCCGACAGAAAGTTGCGGGGTCTAGTTCCCCAAACGGACGTTTCGGTGGGGTGGCCAATGCCGGAGCTATTGACGTTTGTCGTTGCATGTCTCCCATGGTCTCCCTTCATCTGGCTCTTGAACTGCGCTGGTTTGGCTCCATAGTCTATTTTCGGGTTTGTTTTTTTTTTTGAGTTTTGGCTGCTTGGGTTTGATAGGGCCTGCAGTAGGTCTGGTCGGGCTCAGCACGACGGAGGTTCGTTCAGATTTCGAGTCTCGCTCAAGGCAGAGGTTTGTGAGCTGGTGCGCAGAGCCAAAACATGCATGTACAGACAGGCTGGTGTTGGCAGACTTCTATTCGACATCATTCTGTTTTTCTAGATGTTCACAGCCTGGGTATTTGGTCATGAGCATTTACTAGCGGCAGAAAACGCACGAACTTTACACAACTCACTTAGCAGTGTGTGCACATGGAAGAAGAGCTGCCGCCTGATGACATCAAAGGCTATTTGGTGCAGGATGTAGCAAGCCTTTCCCTTGTTTGGAGCTTGCCCTAGCAGCCCTAGCAGTAGCAGCAGCAGCAGCAGCAGCAGGAGCAGCAGGAGAAGTAGCAGTAGTAGTGTAGTAGTAGCAGTAGTCGCAGAAGTAGAAGCAGCAGTAGCAGTAGTAGTAGTAGTAGTAGTAGTAGTAGCAGCAGCAGCAGCAGGAGCAGCAGCAGCAGCAGCACTGGTAGTGGTAGTGGTAGTGGTAGTGGTAGTGGTAGTGGTGGTGGTAGTGGTAGTGGTAGTGGTAGTGGTAGTGGTAGTGGTAGTGGTAGTGGTAGTGGTAGTGGCAGGGGTAGTGGTAGCAGTAGCAATCGTATGCTCGCAGTTCTTTATGAGATGCTAGTTGAGATCTAGGGTGCAAACCTAAGGCTCTAAAGACACCTATTTTAATTTTACGGCTTTTGGGCCCCAAAAAACATGCTACATGCGGCTTTTGGGCTATGTTGGGCCCTAGGTTGAGCGTATCGCCAACCTTGACTCAAAAAGCTCGTTTTCATTCTGCAACCTGTGGGAATGCCTGGGCCGAGAATACCGTGTATGGGACATCATGTATTCACGAAGCAACTCGTTAGCGTCTGTACGATAAGGTTCCTTTATTGAACTATTATTAAGCTTTCACACAACCTTGCCCCCAACCCCTAGAGCTAGAATCGAAATGTGATTTGTGGGGAAATGCAGGCTCGACCTCTCGAACATCCCAAAACCCTACACCACCCGCAGACCCTTTACCCAAGGACCCTAAACCCTAACCCTGAAAGTCAAGCTACAAACACAAGGATCAACGACCCGACGCAAAGCGAGCATTGGTTTCTGCGGGGCAGCAACCGCAGAAGCCAAACCAAAAGTGCTCTAAGTACCTGTGCGGGGGATGCTTACCCAAACCATAATGGTATTTCCTACCATAGAAACCCTGCTTTCAACTCTATAGGCACTTAGGATCCTGTGGGGAAGCCAACGAATCAAGAGGCCCTAAACCCTAAACCGGCAGAGGCGAGGCCCACGAATCCAAGAATCAAGCCGGTTACACACGTCTTAACATGCTTCAGCAACTCAAAAACAAGTACATCATATCTCGTTAGGAGGCCGCTGCATGCCCAGCAGGTCTACCAATCAAACTCACTGCAGATTCGACCGACCCGACTCATGCCGAATGGGG